GGATTAGGACATCTGAGAGTGGACCCCAATCTGCAACTCCGCATGCGAGTTCAGCCCTCGCCCTCTCCCCCTCCCCTGTCCCCATGGCCTGATTAAGGTCGCGGTGGGCGGCAGTGAGTAGGTACAATGCCAAACCTCGCGTGCTTCATGCAATGGGGTTAATTCTGTGAGGACATGCCAGGTGGTGATTGTTACACACGGTGGCAATGCAATGCTTACCTCGAATTATGACTGAAATTCATAAAAAAGTTAAAAAGAGAAATACTTACAAAAGAACCATAACAGCAATGCATGTCCTCAAATGTTATGTACATGTCTGGCTGTTGGCTGGTGGGTTTCTTGGACGCCAAATTAGATTGAATTATACAGCTTAGCTCATATGCTTTGTGCCACCATCCGTTCTATATACCGCAGTGCTTATCGAAACCACTCGCATGTCAATTACGGCTGTTGACGGTCTACCTATGATACTAACTGGACTGGCCAGGTCATAGGTTAATCCAAACCTTTCTATTCGTTATCCATTATGCCGGCATTGTTTGAGAACGAGTTACAATACAAACTCATGCATTTTCCGCATTCATTTGTGGGGTTTCCTGTCCTAAACAGCTAGATTTCCGCACGCATGATTTCATTGTTCGAAAAAATGATCTCTTTCGGTCATTGAAGTTGTCATCAAAACTTGGAATTTGTGAATCTGATACATAATAGCTGCAAAGCGTGTTCATTCAATCATTTTAACTAAAATTATAGAACCAACCATATATATGCGACAGCGTAATTGCTACATTCTTCATGTGATTTGTCCAGAATAAATCCCCACTCCCTCCTTACCTTGTTTTACATCATGTTACACCACTGCACTGGTGACAATCCTCTTTCCTCTCCCCGCGCTAAGTACTAACCTCCCAAGTCCCACCTCAAAGACCGGTCGGCCTATCCCCAGTGCCTCTGCAAGCGTGCCCTTCCGTTCCCGAGCTCCGCGCGCAAGCAGCAGCCAGGTGCCAGTCAGTGCCCTGTTGTGTCATCGGCCAGTGAAAGTGACGGCGCCTCTCGACACTGATCCCGCGCAGTTTAATCACACCCAGGCGCTCTCCCTGTGAGAATGAGCTAATGGAACACGCCGTTCAACAGTGTTATCGCCTGATGCCTGGTCCGGGCTGTGCCTTCGTTAATGTAAAGAAATAGTGTATAGTTTAAGTAAGTAAGGTAATTGTGGCGGTCAGTAAATAGATATTTAATATAATGAAGCAATATCGTCGGCAAACGCAAAATAGACGTCTTTGAGCTCTTTTTGCGAAATCATTGGTTTTACCTAACCTATAAGATAATATAATAGTAAAGGTACCCATATGTGCAATGTACATATTTATGAGACCGACAACAAAGGCTTCTTGGTTCAACTATAGTTATTGAATTACAAACACACGCATACATCGTTCGCGACCAGCAATGCATTAAACATGGGTATGTAGATGCAGATTGCAGTGCCTAACGTAACCGTAAAAAGCGTACGAGCACTTTGCGTACGCACCATCATTTATGCAAATGCATTGAAACGGTACATTATGGGTAATCTTGTTTACTGATTCGGAGCTGTCACAGCACAGTAACAAAAGCTCTCTGACCACGTCACGAAAACGCGTTACGGCGTCACATAATACCGCTGCACATCTTAGAGTCACGATCTGATGTCACATCACGAATGTAGTGACGTCACGTCACGAATCCCGCGACGTCCGTGACTCTATGCAGCAATCATCGAACGGTGAAGTTCGGAGGCAGGGCAACCAGTTCCCAATGTGCCATCACTAGCAAGACAGGGTCCGGTAAACAAAATAGTTGAGATCTCAGTGAATCGAAACTCTGATGTTTTGGAACTCTCCCTTGAGGTTCGCAAGTATGTAGATCTGGTTATATATATATGGCTGTGCATAAATGCCATCATAACATGTAGGGGAAAGAAGTCATATTGCGCCACCTTAAGAACAGGGCGCAATATGACTTCTCTCTTTTATGCACCCACATTTCTACATCACATGAACTGATTAAACAAAAATAACAAAACTTAATGCGTTATATTGTGGCTACATTTTGTCGTTCCTATTGTTTTTCGAAATCGTTCCTATATTTCTATATCCGAGATTCGTCCTTCGATTGATCAATTCCATAAACAATTATTTGTCCTTGTGAATTGACATGCCACTTCCTCATGGACCCACCAAGCTAAACATTCACATGCTTATACTTAGTGATGTGCATATGTTTGTAAATAAAATAAGCGTGATGTCGGTTTGTCAGGGCATGACAGTTTCTTGGTGTCTGTCGTCTAATTGTAGAAATATTACAAAGGAATGTCCCATTCATGTTGCATTCTGTTTGAAACGAGTACCGCTAGTGCCAGTAGGTATATCAAAAACATCGCGTGTGTATTTCGTGACGATGCAACAGATAATGGGTGGAACCCTGGAATTCCATTACTCCGAGCAACTCCATGTGCTCGTGACAATGGTGGTGACTACCAGGAATGATTCAGAGTACCTACACTGCACAGGTATAAAGGCTATGGAACCAGATAGCTTCCCGTTTCATGACTCCGCTTAACGCTGATCTGACGAAGCCCTACGTCTTTATATAAACACTATGACCGTCAGGCTTAGCTTTCTTGACTGTAACCGCAACGGACATTGATTGATTGCGCGTATGTTTCATAAACTGCGCGGCCCAAGTCTCCTGACCGGATTGGTGCGCCATTCCCCGCTGCTGAGGCTCCCTCTGTTCAACCAGTGCGTCACTACACGCCGCTCAGCCTTCGGTGCGCCACTCCTCGCCGCCCAGCCACTAGCGCGCCAATCCTCGCCGCCCGGCTCAGCTGCTGCGCCGCCGCATGCCGCCAAGGCGCCGAACAATGGCTGCGGGACGTACTTTCTATTTCATGCACAAGAGCCGGAACCGGCGGCCACAAAAACGATCGGTGCCGTCCGTGGCGCAACTGGACGCGCGGGCTGCCGCTCGTCCGATGGGGGCGTGTGGCCGTCTCCGCCGTACCGCCCCTGCCACCGCCTCCGCTGGTCGGGAGGTCTGTATAGACAGAGGACAGTGGCGGTAGGTAGTGGACGGTGGACATTGGACATGTGCACGTGATTTTGGGACCGCGAAGATGTCAAGGCTCATGACGGCCAAAGAGTCGTATTGGTCTCATCAGCTTCCTAATAAGCGGGCTTTACTGAGGCAGAACAGAAGACATGAAACTGCATGAAACCTGTAGGTTGAAATATTGCACGGCTTATGCCCGGTATGCTTTTTTCTGTTCTGATCGGCATTATGTAACACATCCGGGCCATGGAAATTGGCATCCATCATCCGACATGACTGAATGTATGCATATTGCATACATTACATGCATTCCCTCTGATCTCATGGTACTGAGTCTGAGCTAATGTCGTCCTTAACCACAAAATTCTTAATTAGTCACCAGGCGTCTAGGCCTGCTAAACTGCGAATGCAATCACGTACCGTACTCCGCTGCTTGCAAGTCAACTTGACCGTGAAAAATATCGACGTTCCGAGAAGTGGGATTATCTCTTTCGGGATGTCATGGTTAGGCTATATCTGTCAATCTGGTAATACCTGGACGTTGTTGTGACCTGTCACGATTTACAGGCTACATTTTTGTTCGAGTCACTTCCGCAATAAGAGCTCGCTCGTGGTTGGGTAGGCGTGAAGATGGCAAACGTCTCCAGACTGATAAGTGGGGCACTGAAAAGGTTGCGACTTCATGGAATTCTATCAAATTGTCATGCCTCTATGTCCTCATATTTCCGTCTGCCTCCGGGACCGTGCTCCCTCAGATGAACTTTGACCTGAGTGAAGACATTACCAATACTACGGTCCCTCGGCCATCCGGACCCGGACTTGACCCGGACCCGGACCCGACCTGTACCCGGACCCGACTTGTGCCTGCACCAGTCCGTGCCAGCTGTGCTCCGGCGACCAGTGTGACTGTACCGTCATCCGGTCACCATTCCCACCGTCCTCTGGGTACAAACAACACACCTCACCATTGGAATCGACTGAGGATAAAATATTGGACCGACCGGCTCATAGTTACGTAACCGCAGGCTGTTTAAAATAGACAAACATTATCTATTAGAATTGTGTTTTTCTATTGAACACCCATGAAAAGCTGTGGTCGGCCCAGTAAACAAGTCATGTGAGCCGTTCTGTGGCTAAGACCTTTAGAGACTGAGTGAGAGGTGGATCTGTCTAAGCATGGCCCTGCGCATGAGCTGCTGAACCACGGAAGTTAACACAAAGGGACTAGTTACGCTCTTCGCGCACAGTCCAAAGAAAGTAACGTCCACCAACATAAAGAAAACGGACCACTTCACTTCTGTCGGAATGTACATTCCGAATTCGCCACACAGGCAAAGGGTCATTGTCGATGCTCGACGCTTGCACATTTTTCGCCGCCGCACCACAGCCTGAATCATTTAGCTGGTATGTGGCCGCAGTCCCAAGCGGCCTGCATATTTGCCCGTGCTTTGTCGACATGACTGTGCGGGCCTGCATTTGTGTGGCGCCGGCCGGGCGTCGCCCCATTGTCGCGGCACCATGCACCGCGATTCCAGCCTTGTGGAGCGCTCGCCAGCTGAGGGCCCGACGTGAAAGCGGCATCGCATTGCCCCGGCCCTCTGGCGAGCTTCTACGTGGTGTCATGTAGGCACTGTTGTGTGGAAAAGTGCTGAATGCTGATGGCGAATGCTTGTACACCGAATGATTGTCATCATTCGGGGTGTTTTATTTTCTTGTGTGTGTGAAAGCTTATATAGTTGCGTTGGTACCTGCATGCACGGCCTGCCAACCTCATACTGCCATGAGGTTTTTTAATATGTACCTAAGCCCGTCGTATCTATTGACATTGGTGACTGAACTTATCGACGACCCTCCGGACTCTCGGAGCCTTCTCTCTGACGGTCTCCCTCTCTTTGTGCCCACAGTCGTCGCCGGCGCCTCTCCAGTCCGCCCGGGTGTCGCGTCTCCAGCCGTCTCCCGTGACGTCCCCGTCCGCCGTCCGGTGCGCAGCCATGGCTCGTCTGCTCTCCGCGGCTCTGCTAGCGGTAGTCCTCCAGCTGGCGGCCACCATCAACCCGGGCACGGAGCTGGTGGTGCACTACTGCTGTCCGGACCTGGCGCTCTTCAACACCACCTCTGGAACGTGTGACACGCGCCAGACAGACGCCGAGTGGCTGCCGCCGTGGACGCACCGCAACGGCAGCCGCATGGCCATCGGGCCCGGCACCGTGTACACTCTCATCATGGGCTACCCGAGCTGTGCCGCCTTCCTGTACCGGCCCGACAAGTCGCCGCTGGAGGACGACTTCCTGGCGCTGCCGTCGGGCGACCTCTACTTCCCCTACTACAACGCCACGGTACCGGCCGATGAGTCGTGCATCGTCGAGGTGGCAGGAGCCCCGAACCGGCTCCACTTTGCCGTGGTGTGCATGGACAGCATCAAGCTGCCGGGACCGAAGCGCGAGGGCGCCACGTCGCACCAGCACATCCGTAGCTGGCTCTACCCGAGCACCATGGTCATCAGCCAGGTGTGTATCGTGCTGACCCTCATCACCTACTGGCTGCTGCCCGAGCTGCGTGACCTCCAGGGCAAGACCATCATCGGAGTGCTGGTGGCGCTGTTCTTCGCCTACCTCATGTTCATGATCGTCAACGGCGCCAGCTCCAGCCTCGGCTCTGGATTGTGCCTAGGATTCGGTGAGTCAGAGTGGATAGGCGTGGTGGTGTTGAGTGGGGGCGACGGGCAAGTGGAACTAGGGGGCTCAGGTATAACAAAATAGCATTTTTTAAACGTTTGAAGTGCCGATCACGGGAAGGGCGTCCTGGGACTGAGACGAATGGGATAGCAGGCAAGAGACCTCGAATGACATGCGTATGTAAATCGTCATATTCTTTGGTTTTTGCCTGAGGCATGTTGAGAGAAATCGCCAAAAGTGCCTTGAACATCGAAACTTACTGTTTGGATAGTTCGCCATAAATATCTCCTTCTCAACGAAAACGATTAAATGATTTCTGTCAATGCGCAACCCTAGCGGAAGTATTTGGCTGTCAATCTGCAGTGTGCACCGTCTGCAGCGTAACATGAGCGTGACCTATAATTTTACAGCTACATACGTCTATCGTAAAAAAAAACATTGCGAAACGATATGTTATCTCGATTCTTTGTTACGCCTGTCAGTGCAGACAGGGTGTCATTTTCTACCGTACCGTTCTTTGAGTGAAGATAAAAAGTGACAACTGCCGTGTTTCACATCGGTTCGGCTGCGTAGGCTGCAATGTCTCAGCAGGAAACATTGATAGTGTGTTATCTGTTCCCGTAATTACAAAATTCATCGGGACTGAAGGTCACAAAATTCATATTGATCAGACAGATCAGCATACATTTTTGCACGTTACCTCGTGTGAACTTGAACGTTAGCTCGTTCGTGTTCTTGGCATTACATTCACCGTTGTCAGGAGGAAGACGTCAAACACTGGACATTGTGTGACATATCTCCATGTTTTCAGGCCTGTTCTTGCATTACTGGATGCTGGCGTCCTTCTTCTGGCTTAGTGTCGTCTCTCTCACCGTCTACTATACCACCAGGTACGTGGTACGCAGGTTTGATAGTGTCAGGGCACTGTCATGTCCCCGCACGGTTCAGTGTCGCCCGTGATTTATTCTAGACACCATATGAATTTGCCCTAATTTCGTGACGGAAATGTCTTGCAATTTAGTTAATTTTACTGGGATTATAAAGAGACCCATGACGTCTCAGCCTTGATTGACGTTATGCTGTCTAGCTGATAGACTGATATACCATGATAATAATTGATAATTAAATTATTTGATAGGTCTCGTGATAAATTTATTAGACAAATCAGTGGCGTTCTGTGAATAGGTAGTCTGCAGTATATTTCGACTGTTATAAAGCGCTTTCATGTGCCTCGGCTCCAGCGTGTTAACCTCTCAGTTCTCCTCTGGCCCCGCTGGCGGTAGCCAATCCATTGACCTCTCTGACTCCCCTCCCTCCCTTCTGCTGGCGGTATAGGCAATCCGTTAGCCTTTCCGACTCCCCTTCCTCCCTTCCGAGGGCGGTGGGCCAGCCACTGACCATCCTGACGTCTCTCCTTCGCTCCCGAAGGCGGGGAACCATCTGCTGACCCATCTGACTCCCACCCGCTTTCTTTAGGCCGGCGGTGGTCCATCCACTCACCCCTCTAACTCCCCTCCCTCCCTCCCTTCGGCAGGGGGTGGGGCATCCACTGATCTTTCTGACTCCCCTCCCCCCGTTCCGCAGACGACTGGCCATCTATTCAACTCTCTGACCCACTCTTCCTCCCTCCGGCAGACGGTGGGGCATCCGCTGACCGTCCTGACTCCCCCCTCCCCTTCCACAGGCGGTGGGGCAGTCTGACCGAGCAGGAGGAGCGTCGCTGGTTCATCTACCTCAGCGTGTTCGGCTGGTGCGCCCCGCTCGTCTTCACCCTGGCCGCCATCATCGTCGACTTCAGTCCGAGCACCTCCGAGTACCTGATCCGGCCGCACATTGCCAGCCGGTCCTGCTGGTTCGGCAGTGAGTGTGATTGCGTCTCCTCACCAGCGCGCTCCAAACGGGCAGTTGCACTTTGCCTGAGACGCGTACAGTCGATACAGGCGCTGCTCTATGTGTAGATCTATAAGGAGAGTCTCTGCGTTGTCACAGATATCACCATAACTGGGAAGCACTTCGGTGTATAACAAATCATGGGAAGTTGTGTGACATATCAATATGTGTTGTGTTGTGTGGCAAATCATGGGAAGCCTTGGGGCTTGGACACTGATTTCAAGTTATGTCTAGTGTCTGCGTTTCTAGTTTCAATTTGGCATGCTTTTTCTGTTCGTCTTTAGTTCCTAAATGCAGCTGCGAAGTACCTACCAAAATCGACCTGACCCTGCAAGTTACGGTTGTGCAATAATGTGCATTACCTCATAAGAAGCCGTATCGCACCATCTCAGTTCACGTGTCATTTCATCTGACCTGCTATGTCCCCTTCGGCAGACCGTAACGCTGAGCTGGCCTACTTCTTCGGGCCGATCACGGTGCTGCTCGTGGCCAACGTCGTCCTCTTCATCATGAGCGCCTTCAACATCTACAAGACCATGGGCGGCGCCCAGAAACTGGACGCCGACGGCGAGCACAAGGGAAAGAACAGGTCAGAACGACGCGGCACGCGACTGTGAGAAAGCTGAAAATGAGCGACAGGCCTTAGGCTTACCATTTGCTGTATGCACTCTGATAACAGGTGTCACGTTGATTGTCTGAACTTCTCGCGAAATTGAATGACATGGATGGACAAATAAAATTGCAATGGTCTGTACTCCCTACCATGCTCTGGTCTTGCTAACTAACATTCGGGTCACATTAAGATCGATACACTTTGGAACCCATGAACGCATAAAATCAATTATGTCCACAAATCAGTAAATGTAGGCACGTTCTCACGACAGCTGAGCACTCGGAGTGATCATGTTTAAACCCAGTTGCTAACGGACGTTCCGCTCCACAGGCTCATCATGTGTTTCAAGCTGTTCTTCGTCATGGGCATCACCTGGGTGTTCGAGGTTCTCCAGTTCTTCATCAACCAGAACGAGAGCTATTGGTAAGAACATATTGTGATATGCGTTGCTGCCAGGCTGACAAGGGAGCTATGCTCCGAAAGTTAATTTATTGCCCAGCACAAGTCCAATGGGTGAATAGACTGGCATAAATTCTTAGCTATAAATAGCTATAAATAACGTCAGGCACCTTCAACTGACTCTGAATCTGTAGCTAAAGCTGCCCTGTCCTATGTCGGCGGTCAGTTGATTTATGTTATGGACGTTCACTATTGAACAGAGATATGTGTCAGACATGGCAAACGATAACCGAAGCTAGTTACCACGTCCTCATTACACATTCCGTTCTCTTCCTCTTCGCAGGATCATCTTCGACATGATCAACATGCTGCAGGGATTATTCATCTTCATCGCGGTCGTGCTGAGTGAGAAACGTGTGCGTCAGAAGCTGACCGAAAAGCTGGGCGAGCTGGGCTGCTGGCGCCGCACCAAGGCCACTGAAATCACGCGCCTCGACGAGGAGGTTGGCCAGAACAGGCCCAAGGGCGAGGAGGTGTTCTAGGCCGATACAGGGGGACGATAGGCCGCCAAAAAACTCGGAGGAAAGAGGAACCACCGGCTACATCGTAAGATAACTGGGTGCCCAGCGCCCGCTGTACTGAAGACCGTTTCATACCAGACTGCCCTCTTGGAGACTCCGATAGAAGTTGCGACTGTTGCGACATCTATTTAAAGCTGGAGTTCGCGACGTTGCCGCCAGTTGTGCCTTTTGATACCGTTGATTCTGCGGCGTAGGAGCACTGGTTTACGGAAAGCGGTGCATTTCGGGACATTTTTTTAATCAGAGCGTTACGAGCTCGTTCTTCACCATGTCACCGATGGACATCCGGTGTTGCGAATGTCATCTAGCCAGAGAGCAGTTATTACCCACAATGTTATTGCCGGACTGACGGGCCCGAAAAAGCAGGCTGGACCGACCAGGAGCACAGTTCTATAAGATGGGATGCCTTCTCAACAAAGACAGAAGTTAGCACATTATGCTATGCTTTTAAAGTCTTCGTTTTCTTGCTTGTGAACGAAAATAAGTGCTTCATATGCTAATCGAGACAGTAAGCCACTTTCACTTGCTAATCCTTCACACTGGCGTTGGTGTGCGATTAAAATGGTGTATTAAGTATGGGTATCGATTCGTAAATGACATGAGCAGAAATTTCACAATCATTTTTTGACGAAAGGAGATGATTTGCGATCGACGTGCGCGACCTGTCAGTAAACTATGAGTGATGTATGGCTGGGAAGGATGTTTTTTGATGGTTAGTTTTACTGGAGTGAGAGCCAGTAATTGATTGGCGATGTGATTATTCGGCGTAGCTCGGTTGGCAAACGGCCTCCTTGACATATAGGTGATATTCCAGTGCTATGAAGCGTCGTGCGTTCTAGCTGGTGTGTGTCAAGATCTGTTATTTTGTGTATGCAGTGCGCATTTCGTTGTAAATATGGTTCTATTGTCTGTTTGAAAGTGTTTCCGTCTGCAGATAATTGCGGTTTAATTATTTCATGATGTTGTTTGCAGTGCAAATACGACTGTAGTGAAAACGTATCGATGTTTATTTTTACCTTATCAGAAGCATTTTGATAGAATGATGAAATGTTGCTGCTCACCATTGCTGAAATGCCTATGAATATTTCGGTGAGTCAGGTGGGTAGATCAGGGGCGTCGACACCGGTCCGACTTTTCCGACTAGTCGGACCACTTTTTCGACTAGGCGGTGCCCTGCTGTGGCTCGCGGGGGCCCCTGCTGCAGACCGCGGGGGCCCTACTGCGGCTCGGGGGGCCCTGCTCATGTATGTATGTAAATGTACGTTGGGAAGCCGTTCGACACCTGGGGGCCCCCACCGGTGGGGGCCCCCCGAGAAAAAGTCGGACCAGTTTTCCTTACGCGTCGACGCCCCTGGGGTAGATTACATTATAGCACGCCACACTGGTTTCGTTATCTGCTATTCCGACTTTAACGTTAAATCCAAGTGTCAGATAGTTCAGTAGAAGCTTTTACGACGATAAAACTACACTTATTTGCTAACTATAAAAAAGACTAGTACAAGTCAAATCGCATTGTCAACATGTATAGGTATAGATTATTGGTATGGACCGCGAACGCCTTGAACACTATTCAATTATTTGTATTATCTAAATTCAATTCTGCTTTTGCGTTCCTTGATAATCCTCGCCAGCAAATGTGTGGCGATGGTGTCCTGGCATTAGTCGGGATATAGCTGGCATTGATGGCATCCAGACTTATCACTGCCTGAACGATCAGCAATCTTGCCATGCGATTCATCACTGCACCGGTCAGCCCGCTAGACGCGCTGACGACTTTGTATTACATAGCTTGTACTTGTAAGCTATGTAAAGCTTTACATAGCTTTATACATCGGCGTTACGTATCGGCGCTATATTATACGTCGGCTTTATATAACTACCTAATACCTATCAAAACTCGTCTTCATGTGAACAAAATACCGGGATTCGGAAATGTCATTGACCATGCGATTCCAGCCAGCCAGATTGGCTACCCACACCGCGGGCACACACACCACACAGCACATAGCTCACAGCACGCCAGCAGTGGCTGTGACTGCGGACCGACCCACGCGCCGCAGCGTTCCCGGACAACTACACCAGGATTGTCCGGGAACGAGATGGCACGGGCTTCATTGTCAGAAGTGTCGTACGATCGATAGCATCACATCAACCTGGCTGATACGATCTTTCCATTGCCAATATATCAAAGAAATAAAATCAGCCTTCAGGAATCAGGAGTACCTATATACTTTCATTTCATAATGCCAAATTCCGTTGAACTGGAATCGGTAATGCATCACGTTATTGAACCCATTACTGAAGTTCATTTCAACCGGTCCATCGAACGGAGGCACAAAAAGAGCAGCATAGCGCGAATACTGTCGGCGTGCATTGTCTCAGTTTCAGTATAGGCGTGTGTGCTTGTACCTATTTATAGTAGCCAATGCCAGGCTATGCAACCCTTATGTCTAGATGTTACTTGCTCATTGCTGACTGTTCTTAAAAGAAAGAAAACGCAATTAAACGACCGTTCTGTGCTATTCAGAGGACATGGAGCTATCAGCATATAGTCACTTCGTCCACTATATAATCTTTATATTACATGTCATTAAATCAAAGGGTGGCCTTCTGACATAAGAGATCACGTAATGTAGATCAAAGCCAATAGATGCGTAAAGATACATTCAACTTATGGGCGATGGCTGACCCGCGCCGTGCTGGGGGGTTCACGCCCCCCTCAGGTTTTGGCGAATATCTCAAAAACAGCGGCGCGCAGCGCCGCCGTTTTTGGTTCACCTGTTCATACATCTTTTTCGCACATGTTGTGAAAATTTTAGCCCCCGGTCGTTCAAGGTCAGGTCACCAGGTCACGTCAAGTGACCTTCCTCAGAAAAAGTTCAAAGGCTCATTGTGGCTACACCGCGTGAACGATCACTTTGAAACTTCCAGCGATTGCTAAGAGACAAAAGTAACAACAGCTACGTTTCCATGGCTGCTGGCACAAGTTAACACGCGCCGTGCTGGTGGTCTGAACTTTCCGCCGAGTGCTGGGGAGGGGGGGGGGGGGGGGGCGTTAAATGAGCTGTTGAGCTGTTGAGAGCGATTACGGTATTTCAATGTTTTGCATCAAAATCGTCTGACAAGACGTTACTTTAGCATCATTTCCGGCCGACCTATGGTAGGTAGAAAGTTTAAATTTGAGCATAAGGTGTCAAATTGATGCCGCTGAATGTAGGTACTGCAAGTTTCCTGTTGATAAGTCAAGCGGTTTAGAAGATATTGCAGAAAAAAGAAGGGGGCTCTGGAGTGCGCGGGTTAACTAACTGCCTTCTGTCACCAAACGATGACTTTGACTTTGAATGGCTGCCGCTGCACTGACATGCATAAGAGCAAGCAAAGAAACAGGTTATCGGTACATCACCTTATATGGCCGCTCCCACGCTGGTGCCAGCGTCTCTTGGCTAGCTGCTCGCAGTGGGATACCGACAGCTCACAGCACTGCCCCAGCCGCCGTCTTCAGTTTGCAATCAGTCGGTCGTGAACACGGAGAAATGCTGCAGTGGGACCTACTAATCCCATCAGTTCATACAGTACCTACCCTGAGTACCCGTACCATCACGGTACACTGCATGCTGCGCACTCACCACGCTGTTGGCCGTCCACAGCCTGCACAAATATCGGCACCACGAAACATAGCAACGGTATCCAGTTATCACCGCACAACCTAACCCATCACCGCGTCACGGCTTCTCGGAACGGCTGCGCAGGCAAAACACTGAGTACGTCCTGTCCATGAGCTCACGCTAGCTCGCCTCCACCCGATGCCATACTCACTACTCAGTACGCAGCCCCGGGCGCTTCAGCGCGCCTCCCACCCAACCTCCCCCTCCCCCTCCCCCGCATCAGATCCTGTTCCATCAACATGACCGGCGCAACGGCGGCTGATTGGTGGAAACGGTCCAGTGTGCTCGGTGTTGAATATCACCCGAGGTGGAATTAGAGGGGAGGGGAGGGAGTGAAATCGACGGTACATACTCATCCGCAAGTCCGGCTGCGGTTCACGAAAAGCACAATGTTGAATGCTGTGAGCCTGTGATCTTGGAATTCGGATGCAACCTGTCAAGGACATGCTCCAGAAATGGTCAGCCGGACTGAGGCAGTATAAGTGAAAAACCAGCCTATCGTCTAACAAATCGCTAAGGCTTGGTTCAATAGCTGTGTGCCGTAAGCCTCACAAGTGGCTGCCACCGCTGTTGAGCAAAATGTGCCGCACGGGTGGTTTGCTGCCGGTTCCTGGTCGTGCACCAGCCGCCCGAGGGTATGAGAAGGTGCAACTTGGTGCTTGTTTTGTATAAATCCACCCTCCTGGTCATTTGAAATGTCAATTGAAGTAAGCTGAACATATGTTTCGGTTTTAGATATTGTCAGTTGTTTTTTTTCTTCCAAAACTTGGAGCTATTCCTTGTCATTTGGGGGGAAAAAGTGGCTGGGAACATCAATCATGTTATCTCTGAGTTACTATTTATGTTATTTATGAGACATGAGTCACCATATCCACGAGACACCTCGGAGGACAAATGCTATGATATTCCCCCTTAGAAAAGAAAAAAAGCGAAAAATAGTTCATAAGAACGAATAATATTTAGGTACTCTATAGAAGGAATAAAGGCACAATGCTTTCATGTGAAGAAAGAGGGAATGTCAAAAACGCCTACCATCAACCGTTTATTATCACGATCCAAAATTATGATGCATTTTATTTTAACAGTCATTCGGTCTTGACAGCTTTCACCTCTGACATCACCTGCTTTCACCTCAGATATGATCATGTTCAAAGTTTACAGTTAGTTTCGCTCTTGAAACTGGATAATGGTGCCTCTCAACATTGACGCTTTTCGTCTTAAATCACTGTAAAGCTTCTCAACACCCTCTGACTAAACTCGAGTACTTCTATGACTTGCAAAAATATAACATTGGTTATGAAAACTGTTTAAGCTGTCAAGAGGGTGGTGAGAAGCTTCGAAGTGAACCATTACGAAATGAATGCTTCGAGACCCGTAGTCAAGCAAGCGGAAGCCAACAAAGCAATAACGATGCAACTTTACCAATGTGACAATTGACATGTTTGAATAGCGCTGCCGCTCTGTTGTTCTCTGATTCCCCATAGCCGCACAACACCAGAAGCACAGCTATATATCAGCCATTTCAATGTGGACCGAAAATAACCGGAACCAGATTAGATATGTGCCGTTTATTGACGCTCAGACCACCAGACGTGCCACCGTACTGGTCATGTCCGGCAGGGCAGAAAATCGCATGGTGCGTGTTTCGCACTCGAAGGCTATCCTTTCACAAACCAGTGGAAAGCATACATAAAGCCACATAACTATATGTTTGGTGTGAATAGATAGATGCTCGGATGGCTCACGTCTTACAATGCACGGACCACGGGCGGTCATGAGGTGAACGGACGGATTGATGACATGCTCTTAGACGATTGTCGAAAGAAGAACGTTCACTTTGGTCAACCACTGGACATCCGAATACGCACACCAAAAGATAAGTCAGCCACAGGCAAATCGATGAAAGGACATGTAGAACAACCAACAGTTAACCCGCGACCTGGTGGGGGGGGGGGCTATTTTTTGCCCCCCCCCTCCAGACTTTTCGATATATCTCCAGAACCGCTGCGCCGATCGTCACCAAACTTTCAGTACCCTCCCGGACATCAATTTTACACATTGTGACCAAAAAATTTTCCAAAGGCTATGATAGGTTGGCCGGAAATGACGTCAGATAGACGTCATGTTCTGCCGTTTTCGACCCAAAAAAGGGTTTCGCGGGAAGAGCTGTCAGGCCTATAGCTTTGCAAATACAGAAAAATGATTTAAACATAAAAGCTGTAGAATCGACAGGGCTACAAAACTGTTATCTCGGATTTTTGAAATTTTTGGATTTTGACCCCCAAAAATTAAAAAAAAATAATTTTTTGGATATAATCATCGAAAAATCCAAAAGTTTTTTGAATTTCGCAAAAATCGGAATATATGTGATAGTCCTTACCGCCTTCCATCCACATACCAAATTTGAGATTGATATCTCTTTTTTTGGCGAAGTTACAGCGAAAAAACTGTTCAAAATTGATGACGTCAAATTTTCAAACTCAATTTTTAGCAATTCTAGACCCCGTAACGCAAAACAAAGACCACCATTAGACTCCCCGTGACGAGCTGCATCGAATCAATACCCACTTTATGCAAAACTATCAACTTTAAATTTGACCTTTTTTGGCCTGACCTTGACCTGACCTTGACCTGAACTTCACCAGAAAGTGACCTAAGCCGTACCTGATAGTCTTATAACTAACACCATTGAGTTGGAAATGAAAAATTGGCCATAAAACATGCATCACACAACCTTAGTAAAGTTGGGCTCATGTGACCTGACCTGTGACCCTTGGTGACCTGACCTGTGACCTGACCTGGTATTGTCAGTGACCTCTAATAGCAACATATCTACTAGGCAACTGACGCCCTATCGCTGATTCTCGACAAAATGCGTTTTCCTCGGTGTTATAGCGCATTCCCTAGAAGACCCGTGAACGGTGAAACATTTCATCTTTGACCTGACCTGTGACGTCATCGGTGACCCCGAGGTCAATGAAATTTGGTTTCTGTCGACAAATTTGACAGGCCTTTCGAACGCCGTTTGAATTTTGAGGATCTGTCCAGTAGTTTCGGAGATACGAGGGGGGCAAAAAATAGCCCCCCCCCCCCACCAGATCGCGTTATAAACAGACCCCACCAGGGCGCGGGTTAACACACAAGCCGTTAGATCACAGTCCGACAAACTCCGCGGACCAATCGACTACCTACTAACAGGCGGTACCGACCAGCGTCGGAGTCCTACAGACAAAGGGACGAACAGACGGACGGAATGACGGACGGATGACGGTTGGCTTTCAGGTTGCTGGAAGACGGACGGATGGGTGGACGGATTCAATGGACAGGGAGACGGGAAACGTGTGATCAGACTGGTGGGCTTGCACCACTCCCAAGCCACAAAGAGCCATACAAGGATGGTACGTCCCAACCTCGTCTACCCCGGTACCTTGTATAACCTAACAACGGCAAACAGGCAATATGAAAATCATGTTCTCCTCAATGACATGTGGAGGATCTCCAAAGAATTATTATGAAACATTTCAACAGCAAATCTTTTTCCGCGGGAAAAACAAGCGATTTCACAAAGTGGTGACAGACCGAGTTTGGTATTCTATTAAATGATTTATTTTTGGGATAATTGGCAAAGCCTGCCTTCCGGCTATGGAAAATTGGGGCAGCTGTGCGTGTAACAGTTGACAACGTTGTGGTACCTACTCCGATAGTACTCAGTCTCCAAGTTGAATTACTATTTACAACAGAAGCCGAAGAGCACCGTGCGCATGCGCCGCAGGTTGCTGGAGACGGCTTCCCGAAGAGAAGACGAGAACACCACCAGGACGGAGGGCAGCAGATGGGTAATACACGAGGAGGTGGCCAGGACGCGGAAGGTCAGCCAGTCCGCCTCGCTGCTCGTGAGGAACGGGTGCGGGTGCTGGTCCAGCGAGAGCCCTACCAGCGCCGGGCCGGCCAGGCTGACAGCCATGGCCACAACGTGTGTGCACGAGGACATCCAGGTGACGACATCAACCCGGGACTGAGCGCGACGGCCGACCGCCAAACTAGTGGAGACGGCCGGGGTGGCGGTCGGAGAGAAATTGGCAGGACGAACAGGAGAAGGTGGGAAGAGAGAAGGGTGAGGAGGAGGGAGGAGTGGAGGGGAAAGAAGGAGGAGGAGATGGGGCGGAGGGGGAGGGGAGAGAATAATCGTCGGAGGAAGAGAAGGAAAATGATGATGAGGAGGAGCAGGAGCAGGAGGCAGAGAAGAAAAAGGAGCAGGAGAAGGAGAAGAGGGCAAAGGAGCAGCAGGAGCGTGTGAAGGAATTGGAGGATGAGTAGAAGGAGAAGGCCTTGACAAAGAATGGGTAGAAGCAGGAGAGGGAAGAGGGACAGCAATGGAAGGAGGAGGAGTTTGTTGAGGCGATATGTCGTCGTCCTCGACCGTTGCTCCGATGGCCGTCTCTTCCGTCGGACGATCGGCGTGCCCGATGATATTTGTGTCGATGGTTTCCTCGATGCTGGTTACGGACGTCATCCAGGGGTTGGCTCTGGCGGTGTTGACCGGCGACCAGGCGAGTCGTCTGGACGACGGAGGCGTCTCTCTGGCCGGCAGCAGAGTCTCCCCGGCCGGCGGAATCGTCTCTCCGGCCTGGGGCGCTGTCTCTCCGGCCGGCGGAGGCATCTCTTCGGACGGCATCACTGTCTCTCCGGCCGGCAGCAGCGTCTCCCCGGTCGCCAGCGCTGTCTCCCCGGTCGCCATTGGTGTCTCTCCGGTCGCCAGCGCTGTCTCCGCGGTCGCCAGTGGTATCTCTCCGGCCGGTATCGCTGTCTCCCCGGTCGCCAGTGGTGTCTCCCCGGTCTGCAGCACTGCCTCCCCGGCCTGCAGCGGTGCCTCCCCGGTCGACGGTCCGGTGTCGGTCGCCGAGCTGCGACGTGGTGACCGCAGTGGCGGCACCGTCAGCAGCACAGGCTCCTGCTGAGAGACGTCGCCGCGATGACCAGCCGCGCCGTTCAGCTCCTGCAGCCTGACCACGCCGGCGCCGATCCTGGCGACAGGCAGGACCGCGCCGGCCGAGAGATTGTTCTCCTGAACGCTTCCTGCGGCTCTGTGGGGCAGCAGGTTGAGACCGGTATGGCAGAGGCCTCCGTTGCGGTGTAGCACCTTCCACAGGACGGCGACGTAGCAGAAGGTGGTGATGACGAACCCGGCTACATCGCTGCCGATCAGGATCGAGAAGATGTTGGCGATGCGGGGCGGCTTCCGGCACAGGATGGCCCCTCCCAGGCGGTCGTGCAGGTCGAGAGGCTGGCACTGGTACGGCTCACGGTACCAGATGGCACCCACCAGACCGTAGGCAGCCACGAGCGGCGCGAAACCGGTCAGCAGCAGCGAGCCCAGAGACGTCGACGGTGTCTTCCCGAGGACCACCTGCAGAAAGCGCAGCATCGCCACCGCCGTGAAGCACGTCAGCACCGTCTCTTTAGCCACCAAGAAGGTCAGCGACTCAACAACGCACAGAGTGCGCCAGCCACCGAAGTGGTCGACGGAGAACGCTGCCGCGCACAGCATTAGCAGGGCGTTGGTGCCGGTCATGGCCACCACCACGGCGTTGACAGGCGTGTGGAAGCGCACCTCGCTGGCCACCGTGTAGGTCAGCAGGCCGTTCAGCAGCACGCCGCTGGCTGAGAGCGCACCTCCCAGCACGGCGTTGACGACGTGCAGCGCGCCAGCCTCGTCCCCGTCACGACCGCAGATGGTGCCGCCGTCGGCTCCCTCCCAACAGGTGAGCTCACGGAGTGCGGTCTCCTCGCACGTGGCCAACTGGCTCGGCTCCATGTCGAGGTGCCTTCAGATGTCCAAGTCCACGTCGGAGTGCTATATCGGAAATCGAGGTCTATGCCCGAGGGCTGTCAGAAGTTGATGTTTATCTCGGAGTGCCTTCAGAGGTCGAGGTCAGTGTGCCGTCGGGACTGAGGCCCCAGCGCTGCATCCGAGCGGCGGCCAGTCCGTCGACTGAGCAGCGACCGACGCACCGACGGTCTCCGGGGCGGCGGTGGCGACTCTGACGCAGACGATCCGTCGGAGCCCGTCGTTGATGGACACGTCCACCCCGTAATCCGCCAGATCTCGGTGGCACTTCTGATGGCATTCCACGGATACTGCGGCACCAGTCACGCTCAGGCAACGCATCAAGAAGGACTATTTATGTCGCATCTCTTGTCATAAAGCTGTAAAAGTTTATTTTACTTATCGACAGCTTATTTTGCTATGGAATAATACATAACTCGAGAAAAACGTTTCAGAGTCTTTCATAAAATAATGTTTTAGGGTAAAAAAAGGATATTGGGTAATACCGTGTAAATGGTGGACATTTGACGGGAGTGTTCCCTGCCCTCTACTGGAGACACGCGGCGGGCGGCTCCGCCCTCTGCCGGGTGGTGTGGCGTCTTGTGTGCCTTCCTCGCTACAGTGCCGACGCGCACGCTCAGTGACGGGTCAGAGGTCATAGGTCGAGGCGCGCGCTCAGTGACGGGTCAGAGGTCAGCCGGGGAGCTGGTTAGTGGCTCTGGCTCGATAGTGGAAGGAGAGTGGACGCCAACAGCGAACTGACCAATAGCCGTGAAAGTGGAAGCACTGTTTCTGCCCACCGTGAGTAAGATCGATACAATAAAAACACAAGTTTAACGAATAACATTTTGAGCTTTTGAGAGGGCTTAGTATGATATTTGTACAAAAGAAGCAGAGCTCAATTTTCTCCCTTGACGGTAATGGAATGTTCGCAACATGGGCCTAACCTTAGGTCACCGATATCGAAATTTCGAGAATTACCTACGTTTTATACATACTGCTACTCTTATTGATCGCCGAAGTTCCAAATTGGTCGTTTAGTGGGTGTAGCTATGGCGAGCATTATAACATATATGAGGAAGGTCACATGGCCAGTAGCGGCGGAACACCTTCAATAAGGGGGGGGGGGGCACTGCCGACTTTTGGTCCCATTCTTTCCATGCAACGCCCATAGGGCTAATGTTAAAATGTCAAAATCAAAGGGGGCACGGTGCCCCGGTGCCCTCCCCGTTCCGCCGCCTATGCACGTGGCATGACCTGGTGACCTGACCTTGAGCGGCATGGGTCTGAACTTTTCACAGCATGTGCAGAAAAGATGCCATAAAAGAGGTGCAAAACAAGGCGCCGCTAGTGAAGAGGGGTCTCCAGCCCCCCCCCCAACGCCCCCCCCCCCCTCCCCCCTACCTTAGCTCCGGCCTGGCGCTAGTAAGCCCGCGCCCCGCTGGGGCCCCTGGTTTTTCACTCCCTGGGAGGGGGGTGTTCGAACATTCCCCTTCTAACTCGGTTCCTGGATCACGTAGCAGCACACCGTAAGCGGCGTTCGAAAGACGTCTAAATAATGAAATAACTTCGGCCACTTTTAGGTCAGCTCAAAGTTCAGGCCACCAGAGGTCATCGACGGTCAAGTTGAGCCAATTTCCAGGTCCAATTTTGACAAATCTCAACAAAACGGCGCATAGCTCAGGAACGAATAGAGCTACAGCGCCACAGGAAAACGCATTCGAAAGCCATTTTAACCCGCGCCCGGCTGGGGGTCCTGGATTTCCACGCCCTGCTGGGGGGGGGGGGGGGGTGTGTTTGGACACCCCCGCCCCTTCTAACTCGGCTCCTGGGCCACGTAGCGATACGCGAAAGGCGGCGTTCAAAAGAGCGCCAAAAATAATGACGAAATCACTTCAGTCACTTTTTTGGTCAGGTCAAAGGTCAGGTCACCAGAGGTCATTGAAGGCAAAATTTCGCCGATTTTCAGGTCGAATGTCGACAATTTCCAGGAAGCCAACGCATAACTCGGCAACGAATAAAGCTACAGCGCCGCGGAAAAGCGCATTCGATAGCCCTATTAACGCCCTTTCTGAATAATTCTCTCAGATTTGACCTAACGTCAACGGTTTTGCCTGCAGGGGGCAAAAACTGCAAAAATAACCGATTTTTTTCGGAAACAGTTTTTCTGCAATAACTTTTGACCCAAGCCTTATACGAGCTTATTTTTACCGGCATCGTGTTCCTCTCGTCAAGACGCATCGAATGAACTATAAATTGACCTTGAAAGGTCAACTTGAAAATTTGACCTCAGGTCAAGGTCATGACCTGACCGGAAAGGGTCATGTTGCATATTAGTCGATCCGTATCGTCGAGCTGAGCACATCTAAGGCGTTTTCACCGCTCTAGCATGCCTCTATCAAAAGTTATTTGCGAAAAACTGTAAGACACCATTCGTGACCTGAGATGACCTCAGGGGCATAAATAGGGGTCACGGACACCATTTTCATGTTCAGTTTGACTAAACCACTTGTAATTCAGTGTTTGGGAGTGTTTATAATGTCTTTCGTCCAAAAGAGGCGCATTTCAATTTTCTCCCATTGACTTATAATGGAGAGGTCGCAAAATTGACCTGACCTTAGGTCACCGATATCAAAATTCCGAGATATACATTTTATAGATACTGTTACCCTTATCAATCGCTGAAAGTTTCAAGGCGATCGGTCACTCGGTGTAGCTATGGCAGACATTGAAACTTTATATAAGGTGAGGTCACTTCAAGTGACCTGGTGACCTGACCTTGAATGACCTTGGTCTGAAATTTTAACAACATGTGTAGAATTGATGTATGATAAGGTGTACCAAAAACGGTGGCGCTCCGCGCCGCCGTTTTTGAGATATTCGCGAAAAAACACAAAGGGGGGTGTTCAAACACCCCCCAGCAGGGCGCGGGTTAACGCTCCTACTGTAGACTGCCCTTAGAGTTGGCCTAAGGTCAATTATTTAGCCTTCAAAGGGCAGAAACTGCCAAAATAGAAGACTATTGCGGAAATGTTTTTTCTGCAATAATTTTTGACATGTAAAATGTTCTCCTCGTCAAGACGCGTGAAAGAAAATATACCTACTTTGACATTGACATTGGGCCGGCCTCCGGACATCCCGAAGGACCATGGACATCTGACTCATTTAGTAGCGAAACAGGTGCTTGTCAGGTCGCTCACGAGAATGTCTGTTTTGGTCCAAGAACTGGAATCAACAATTCATGTAGTTCTGCGTACAATCCAAGCTATGATTCGAGGCCAGGCCCATCTTTTCTGGGTGTCACTAACATGGACATAATGGAAGCGATTAGGCTCCTGCAGTTCAGTGTAGACCAACTCCGAAGAGAGGTGCAGGATGTCAAAGTAAGACAGGAGGCTTTATCACAGGGGATTATATGTAGTAAACTATCTACTGCTCCTGAAAGCGTGAATTCAGTGAATGATCTATCTTGTCAACCGATGAGTAGTCCAGAGAACGGTCAAGGGGACCGCAATCCATTGACAGACAAGGTTGCTGTTCAAGCGGACATTCGCTTGAATTCTGGGAACAGATTAGGAAAGGGCCAATCTGCATCTGACCGCGATCCGAAAGTCTCCAGCGTTAAGCATAAGCAAAGAGGCAAAGGCCAAGTCATGCAACAAAAGGGGGGATCTGAGGTCATACTCTATGGAGACTCGCGGATCAAATTTATGGATAGAGCGTTTTGTGAACAAAATCGGGACAAACGAATGAGGGTGTGTTTACCAGGCGCAAGGCTACAGGACTTGTCAGACAGGCTTACTGGCGTAGTGAGTGATAGTAGTCCCAACAGTGTCCTTATCTTACATGGAGGTGCAAATGATGTTGGCAACACACAATCGGAGGAACTTATGGATACCTATAAGATGGTAATAAGTGATCTTACAAAGTCCGGGAGAAAATGCATGATTACCGGCATTTTGCCTAAAATTGGGGCCGGGATAGAATGGTCATCCAGAGCACTTGGAATCAATGAGCGAGTTAAGAGGCTATGTAAAGCAAAGAACATACGTTTCTTAGACTACTGGGATCATTTTTGGGGGAAAAGGGAACTGTACTCAATTGATGGTTATCACTTCAGCAGAGAAGGTGTGCTCCTTCTGAGCAGCCTTTATGAAAAGGAGCTACATCAGGAAAACTAGAGAAATCTACAGGTGAGGAAGACTCAAGTAATGAGGTTAAAACCTCTCTGAAGTGTTTTTATACCAATGCTCGGAGCATAAGAAATAAAATTGAGGAATTGCAAGTTTACATGATTACTGAATATCTTGATGTAGTAATTATAACAGAGTCATGGGTTAATGAGAACATGTTAGGGGATCGTTTTCAAGATTATGCCATTGCTAACTATGATATGTTCACTTATCAAAGAAAAACAAAAGTAGGTGGTGGAATTTTAGCGTATGTGAAAAGAAACCTAAGGCCATCCGTACTAGGACATTTTAATGATAGTGGTGATGTCGAATCCCTCTGGATTGACATCTTTCCTGATGGAAGTCTCCATAGTAAAATTAGAATTGGAGCTTTCTATAGACCTCCTAATCAATCAAAGCAGGCGGATCTGGCCATGGTTGATGAAATAGAAAGAGGCCTAGATAAAAATACTGTCCTTTTAGGAGATTTCAATCTCCCAAAGTTGTCAAAAGAAGGAACAAGCCACAACTGGGAAACTACTCTATTCAGGGAAAATTTTGAAGAATGGTTCCTGACACAACATGTATTGCAGGTGACCAGAAAAGATGAACTACTTGACTTGGTTCTAACTAACAATGAAAACTTAATTACAGATGTCATGGTGGGAGAATCCATTGGAAATAGTGATCATGCTATCATAAGATTCAGCATAAATTGTCGCTTGAAGAAGAAAGGTGTAAGAATGTATATTACTCCAAATTTTGCCAAGGGAGATTATGATGCAATCAGATCGTTCTTGACTTGTATGAAATGGAGCGCAATGTTTGAAGGTAAAAATGTTGACGAAATGTGGGTTGTTTTCAAAAATGTACTTACTGAGGCCCAGAAACGATTTATTCCCATGAGGAGGAGGCGGAGAGGTAAGATACCGAAACCACCTTGGTTTAATTGGTCGGTACAAAAATGTTTCCATGAGAAAAAAAAACATATTGTGAATTTAAATCAAATCCATCTGCTGAAAAAAGGATGAGGTATTTGAAAGCCAGAAGAACATTAAAAAGCATGATTCGTAAAACAAAGCGTGCAACAGAGATACGATTTGCTAATGAATGCGGTGGAGACCTAAAAAGATTTTTCAGTTTTTATAAGTTCAACAAACATGATGCACGAATTGGTCCGATTAGAAAGGATGGAATAACTTATCACGAAGACGCTGATAAGGCTCAGATTCTCAATGATCAATTTTCCAAAGTATTTACTGATGAGTGTCTTACAAACATTCCCACCAATAAAAACGATGCATGCTCACAGAAGCTTACGAGCATCCCTCTTAATCATGAGGACATTCTGAAATGTTTACAGAACCTCAAAATAAATAAGACAGCTAAGATATGCTGAAACGGTGGAGCTCCGCGCCCCCGTTTTTTTAAAGATATTTGTGAAAGCCGGAGAGGTGAAGCCCCAGCAGGGAGCCGGTTAGCAAACAGCTTTGGCCCTTATATCATGGTTTTGTTTCCGGTTCTATACGATTTGGAGCTGTTCCTGTGACTTATCGGTACAAAAGATAAAATAACAAAGGAGGTTGTATGATTTTTGAGGATATCAGAGCTGTTTTCGAGCAGCCACGG